ATATATAGAAATATATCGGTATTATTATATATATATAGAGAATTATATGTATATAGAAATATTCGATAGGTCGGATTCAAGACAATAATAGGTCAAAGTTTAGATTTGCTCTCTACTAATTTCGACAAGAAACCTAATCTGGATCTATTTACAATGAATCAATATATTTCCATTGTTAAGTACAAAACTTCGTATTATTCTTTTGTTATGCCGATAATCGCAGCTATGCACATAGTAAGTATCTCAGTTTTCTTATACACGAAAATTCATTCGCTTGATAATAATGCACTGTGATATGTTATTTATTGCAGGCTGGAATAAAAGACCAAGAGATGTTCAAGGAAGCAAAAACAATCTCATTAGAACTAGGGTGTTTGTTTCAAGTTCAAGACGATTATTTGGATTTGTTTGGAAAACTTGATGTCTGTGGTAAAGATGGTACTGATATTCAGGACGGAAAATGTACATGGTTTGTTGTTCTAGCTCTTCAACGTGTTACTCCAGAGCAGCGTAAAATATTAGAAGTGAGTATCGTTTGTTAGATGCGTTGCTTCATCGAACGCTGTTGTATATTAATCCTTTTTTCTAATTATACATAGGAATGTTACGGAGATTCAGATCCAGAGAAAGTACGTCGTGTGAAACAGCTTTTCACTGACCTTGGTTTGCTAAACACTTATTCTACATATGAAGAAGAAACATATAATCTACTAAAAAAACGTATACAGCAGATGTCATGCGGGCTTCTACACGATATTTTTTTAATTATATTACGGATGCTTCGTCATAGAATGTCATAAAATAATCGTATACATGAAAGAAATTGATATTTTAATACTTTACGTACTAATATTTTATCATTAAATTAAAAAGAATATATAATGAAACGAGAAGTGTTTTGTCAATGTTCAAGAGTACGATGTTATTTCGCTGCGAAAAATATTGAAATTATAAAGATTTTTATGTACAAAAAAATGTTTGATCATTATACAATACTAAATATGCTTTGTGTTTATAGTGTTTCTTTTTTATACATTTTTTGGATAACGGTAACGAAATTTACAGTTACTTTTATCGTTACTTTGCATTTCGATTGGGTTCGTTATTCTGTTATATAACAATTACATGTTATTAATACGACAACTATAAGTGTGGTTGTAGAACATTGAGTGTTTTTATTTAATACAAGAGTAAAAGCTACATTATAGTTTACCATAATCTAAACATCGTACATATTTTGTTCTAATTGAGTTGTGTACAAAGCTTTACTCTGTACATACATTTCTGTGTTTTAATTATAGTGATATATAATTTTCTTTCTATCAAAATATTTCATTTACAGCTGAATAAAGTATAGATTAAATAAAAATATAGCTGTATTATTATAAAAAGATTATGTGTATTTCTTAATTTTCTTTTTAATTTCTAACTTATACATATTATTGTGATTCAGATAGTTCTATACAATCCTCTCTCTAATTTTCTAGTTTTCTGTAAAGTATAAAAAATTTCCTATACGTAGTGTCAGTGTTATACATGCTATATATTACTGTATATTACTTTTATTAACATTTAAACAAAAAACACTGCAAAAGTACATTTTTAGATTGATTTTAAAAAGTAATTGAAAAGTAACGAAAAGTTATATATTATTTCGAGTAACGATAACTGTAAAGCCTTGTGTCCACGATACTAGAAATCGGTCCGAGATCTCGGATGAAGGAAAAATTGACCAATTGGTCATGTGACCAAATTGTTCAAATGCGATTTGTTAATTCTTTCTTCATCCGAGATCTTGGACCAATTTCTAGCATCATGGACACAAGGCTTAATGGGGTGTAACTTGTTACTTTTTTTACTCGATAACGATCGTAACTGTAACTAGTTATTTTTTAAAAGTAACTTTCCATTCCCCCCCCGCTTATTAATATAATTGCATTTTGGCCATAATATCCTACTGAATACAATCAATATAAATTTAAAGCTAATAACTTTTATTTTTCTTTGAGATAGACCTGGGGCTCTATTCCTGAAACAAAACGTATACGAAAAATTAGGAAAATACTATAGTATACGTAACGTATACTGTAGTATTTCCCTAGACTTTCGTATACGTTTCTTTTCAAGAATAGAATACCCCCTGCTATGCTCTTACTAGACAGACTGTATATTAGGCCGGAATCAGACTACGCATTGAAGATTGAGATTGAAGATTGAAAGAATGAATTTTGGCTAATCAAAATAATAGGAGTTAAAATTTCTTCATCCTCTACATTGGTTAAATTTCAATTTTCAATCTTCAATCTCAATTTTCAATGCGTAGTCTGATTCCGGCCTTAGAACTCGATCCTGTTTCCCATGGATTTGAAAATCACGTAAATATGCATACATACCCGGTATGCTTTTATGGCAAGAATGGCAGGATAGGAGTGAATATATTTGTGCACAATCGATCCTTTTAGATAAAATCCTAGATAAAAGAAATCAATTGATCCGCGAGCAACTGAAGACCTTTCCATCGTAAGCAAAAAATTGTGCGCCTGCCCAAACAAACCTAGCCTCACCTGGTGGACTTTCGTACACTTTTCGTAAAAATACACGTGAAAAGATCGATTACTATTTAAAAAAAAGTTTTCTTAATTACGGCAAGCACAAATGATAGAAAAGGAACAACAAATTAAAACGTTGCTGTTATGGTTTATACAAAAGTGACACAGGCTTAAAAAGTTTTAAAACTGATAATTATTATTTTATCTCGTTTCCTAAACCGTGCCTGTCATTTAGAAAGGGTAATGTCAAAACAAAGCAATTAAAAATTCACACGAAAAATTGTGATAAATGCAATAAATGCAGTATATGGGTGAGAGCATGTGGTCGTCCTATTCCGTTTAACAACATTAAATATGTTAAAAAAGACACGTATATATGTTCGTTGCATTTCCATGGGGAAAGAGTGGACTGAAGTGGACCATCTGATGAGTACCCGGACCCTATTTCTTTACTAAAAAATAAAAGAAAGGTGAGAAAATAAATAATAGAAATTGTACAATCATTTATTTATATCAGTTATGATTAAATTTTATTTTCTTATACTAATGTTCTCCTTTTAGATATATTGAAGTACATCACTATCTTGGCTACGTTTCCTGTAGCAATTAACCATTTACCTTCATCAACTGTTGGGTCAATTGGTATGTCATTCTGAAGGCATATGTTTACTCTAAATCGTAGAAAAATTTTAATTAAAATAATATATAAAATCATATTGTTTAATAGGACGTATTAAAAATATAAAAGACTAAATAACCTCTCAACTAATTCGCATTTTTTTCCGTTTGTTTTTTGCTTCCTACATTTCAACCATCTTTTTAATTGCTCTACGCTATGTTCTTGAACTGAATTATAAATTAACACAGCACCAGGAACATCAAGAGGGGAAATATTTGCTTTTACGAATGAAAATGATGAAGCCATAATGTAAAACGTACAAAACTGTACGAAACTTTTAACTTTCCCGGACTTGGTCGATCCCCCCAGGCCCCCACCAATGTTCGCGTCTGCGCATTTCGAACTATGAAAAGGTCTAATATTGATAAAAACGCGCTTTTATCTCTAAAATTCTATAGTATGCGTAATGTAAACTATAGCATATTAGAGCGCTACATCATTGTAAGCGCGTTCTGAATACGGACCTATATACAGGGTGTCCAGGAAAGAGACGATTTCTTTTTAGGGGGAGATTCTTGAGATAATTTTAAGACGAAAATTCTAATACCAAAATGTTGAGGCTATAATAACTTTTGAATTATAAGCGTTTAAAATTAACGAATCATATCGTCTAAAGTTGGCGCGCTCAGGAGCGGCATAACGCAAAGTACTAAACGCGAAAACTTATCACTTCTTTTGTCAATATTGATTTTAAGAGATTACATATATGAATATAAGATTTTATTTTATTGATATTTCTATAAATGCATTATTCAAATACACTTTCGCATTCGATCAGCCAATCGCTTGATGAGCTTTTTCTTATTTCTTCTGAGAAAATAACCAATTTTACCGGACATGATTGTCCATATAACTTCTCATTCGACACAACTTAGACTTCCTGCGTTATTACAATTTCTTATTCGACATAACTTATTATTGCGTTAATATTGTGACATCTGAGGATGGCTCAAATACACAGTCGAAACGTCATGTTTATAATTTTTAATTTATTTTTGTATGTAGAATTAATTAGTATATTGTATTTGATTTAATTTATTAACTAAATATATTGCATCATGCTATAATTTTGTAGATCATATCTATGTTTTTTATTGATTCTTATTTACCTTATTCTATCTTTGTTTTTTAATAAATATGTAAAAGCATCTTTTTCTTCTTTATCGCTTTATTATATGAACTAAAAAAATTAATTTCAAATAATTATATAAAAAGAATCTTGGCGCCGCATCACCAAGCTTGGCTTTCTGAAAAAAGTATCCTGGCGGCACCAGGCTTTTCCAAAAGAAAGTTAATTCTGGAAGAATACCGTCATTGGCTTCCTTCTTCTATAAGCCACCTGAGCTCGATTATTGAACGTAATTATGTGTAAATAATATGTATACATGATAGTGATGACTAGCAATACATATGTATCGTCTTTTTATGATCAACAAAACAAATTACTAAAACTGTGTAATAGTACTGCATGTGTCCCATTCTGTTTATATTGATTTTCTTTTAATAAAAAAATATTCAAAATTTATTGTTTAAATTAAAAATTCTTTCAACATTTACATGAATATGGATTAACGATTCGTTTCGTTGATCATATAAAAAGACGATACATATGTATTGCTAGTGAGGGGTATAAATATTAAGCAAAGAACAGATTTCTCTTTAGTTTTCTTTTCTGTCTTGCTTTCTATTTTATCTTTTGAAAGATCTAACGAAGTTTAATAAGAAATAAAGTGCTTAATACAAAAGACAAAATATAAATTGATCAAGAAAAATTTTTATTTCATCGTTTTTTTCTTGCTTGTAATTTATCACAATTTTATTCATGACGTAACGGAATCGTTATCTGTCATTCTTCTTAATGTTTGTTAAAACTTTAGATCGTTTTATTATAATGGATCAAACGCTATGGGTAACCATCAGCGAGGAGGAAGAACAACAGATGATGGCAATGTGGCCGGACATTGTTCATGATATCACGAAAGAGATTGAGAATTCTAACATTCCAGATGTTGCTAAATGGGCGGAAAAAGTACGTCATCATTGATTAAAATATTATATACATAATATGATTAAATAAAAAATGATAAATATTATAGCCAATATGGGATGTTGATGTGACAGTGATATGTTAAAATTCATTCAATGTGGGTCGATCGATTTATTATACGATAAATTCCTTTAGTAAAAGTAATGCTATATAATGTAATATCAAATTTCAAAATTTTAAAATATAAAATTTTAATAAAAATTCTCTCTCTTTTTCTCTGTCTCGAATAGTTCATAAATTTGTAAAAATAAATTATCATCGAAATTTAATGATGAGAAAAACCAATTTCAGGTAGTTTTTTGGAGAAAATAAAAAAAACCTTAAGTTTCAATAATTCAAAAAATCTATAAACTGGTACATGAAATAATAATTTAAAAAAAACTCGAATTTTTAAAAATATATAGATTGATAATTCTTTTTATGTAGGTATTACAGTATACTGTTCCAGGAGGAAAGAAAACTCGCGCTTTTGCGTTAATTATTGCTTATAAATTACTAGCACCAAGTGATCAACTAACAGAAGAAAATATTCGTCTTATACGAATTTTAGCATGGTGTCTGGAATTGGTAATTGTGTTCTTCTTTTCTTTGTGACATCGATATGTTTCATGAATTTTAATTCAAATGAATGTAATACAAGATATAGTTAAGATTTTAATTTATCTTCAAATTGAAGGTAAAATGCACTATATACGATGAGCGATTTTAATTAAAAATATTAACTGTTGCAAATACGATTTATAATACTAAAACATTTATCACTATACAGTTCCAAGCGTATTTAATTGTGATCGATGATATACAAGACCGATCGTTACTACGCCGAGGCAAACCATGTTGGTATCGATACAATGATATAGGTCCAGCGGCAATCAATGATGGTCTACTTTTACAAACTGCTATGTTTTATCTAATTCGAAAATATTTTAAAGAGAAAGATTATTACATTAATCTACTAGAAATGTTCTACGATGTGAGTAAAGATAATTTTTTCTTTCAACGCTTACATTGCGTAAACTATTTTTTTTTCCTTTTAATCGAACAATTATTGTATATAGAAATATTTTGATAGATCGGATTCAAGACAATAATAGGTCAAAGTTCAGATTTGTTCTCTACTAATTTCGGCAAGAAACCTAATCTGGATCTATTTACAATGAATCAATATAATTCCATTGTTAAGTACAAAACTTCGTATTATTCTTTTGTTTTGCCAATAATCGCAGCTATGCACATAGTAAGTATCTCAGTTTTCTTATACATGAAAATTCATTCGCTTGATAATAATGCACTATGATGTTATTTGATATAGGCTGGAATAAAAGACCACGAGATGTTCAGGGAAGCAAAAACCATATTATTTAAAATGGGGAACTTGTACCAAATCCAAGATGATTATTTGGGTTGGCTTGGAAAGTTTGATGTCTGTGGTAAAGATACTACTGATATTCAAGAGGGAAAATGTACATGGTTTGTTGTTCAAGCTCTTCAACGTGTTACTCCAGAGCAGCGTAAAATATTAGAAGTGAGTATCGTTTGTTAGATGCGTTGCTTCATCGAACGCTGTTGTATATTAATCCTTTTTTCTAATTATACATAGGAATGTTACGGAGATTCAGATCCAGAGAAAGTACATCGTGTGAAACAGCTTTTCACTGACCTTGGTTTGCTAAACACTTATTCTACATATGAAGAAGAAACACACAACTTACTAAAACAACATATAAAGCAGATGTCATGTGGGCTTCCACATAGTCTCTTCTTAAGTATATTATGGAAGCTTTATCACAGAATGTCATAAAATAATCGTATACATGGAAAAAATTGATATTTTAATACTTTATGTATTAATTTTTTATCGTTAAAAAAATTTTAAAAAAAGGGAAATATAAAACGAGAAGTGTTTTGTCATTGTTCCAGAGTACGATGATATTTCGCTGTAAAAAATATTGAAATATCCCTTTATAAAAATTTTTACGTACTAAAAAATGTTTCGTTATACAATATAATACTAAATATGCTTTCTTTTTATACTGATTTTTTTAAGAAAAAAAAACAACATGCAAAATGACAATTTGTTATTTAAATTAAAATCTTTTTATTTACATGTCAGTCGTATAGATTACTATAATGTGTAGTGTAGACTATTTCATCGATCATAAAAAGACCATTCATATGTATTGTTATTCAATGTATCGGGTATATATGTCTTAAGGAAAAAATAGATTTATCTTTAGTACTACTTCGTGTTTTGTTTTTTATCTTATTGTTATCTGTATCACAAAATGTCATAAAATAATTGTATACATGGAAAAAATTGATATTTTAATACTTTATGTATTAATTTTTTATCGTTAAAAAAATTTTAAAAAAAGGGAAAAATAAAACGAAAAGTGTTTTGTCATTGTTCCAGAGTACGATGATATTTCGCTGTAAAAAATATTGAAATATCTCTTTATAAAAATTTTTACGTACTAAAAAATGTTTCGTTATACAATATAATACTAAATATGCTTTGTTCTTTTTATACTGATTTTTTTAAGAAAAAAAACAACATGCAAAATGACAATTTGTTATTTAAATTAAAATCTTTTTATTTACATGTCAGTCGTATAGATTACTATAATGTGTAGTGTAGACTATTTCATCGATCATAAAAAGACCATTCATATGTATTGTTATTCAATGTATCGGGTATATATGTCTTAAGAAAAGAATAGATTTATCTTTAGTACTACTTCGTGTTTTGTTTTTTATCTTATTGTCTGAAGGAATTAACAAAATTTAGTAAAATACAAAGTGCTTCGTATAAAAGGTATAAAGGATATAAAAGAAAATTTTATTGCGTCTCATCTTCTTGATTTGTACATTACAATTTTATTCATGACGTGATTAAGTCATCATTGTTGCTTATCATTTGTATCAAACTAACTTCAGAAGTTGTTAAAAAATTAAGAACGTTTAATTGTAATGGCTCATTTCGTAACTCGAATGATACAAACAACGAGGGACGAAGAAAATCAGCAATTAATGACAGTGTGGCCGGACATTATTCATGATGTCACAAAAGCGATTGAAAATTTTAATATTCCAGATGTTGCAAAATGGATGGAAAAAGTAAGTAATTATTTATTAAAATGCTAAACAATAGCCAAGTAGAAGGTAGCAAATGACGTGATAAAAACTTTGGTAGATTGATGGTATAATAGAATAAATTCTTTCAGCATAATATTATAAATACAAAAAGTAATGGATAATAATAATAACATTAATGGCTATAAGGAGTCAAACGCTGTTAACGGAGCGTAACTTATATACAAATATATCTTAGATACAAAAATTTTGAACGTTTTATCCCATTATTTGGACCATCATCAGCGAATATAAAATATACAAAGGTGTTACTTACAATTAGTGTTGGAGATAATGATACTGAAATGTAGTAATGAATATATATAATACCAAAAGAGATAAGTTCGCATCACTTGATGGAGTGAAGGTATATTAAAGAATCTTGAATATGTCTGTAAAATCGTAAAAAATATAGAATCTGAGACCTAAACAGTAAAAAGTATTAAGCAAGCTTACCTCTGTTGGTCGACAGACACAATTCCAAATTAACAATTAAAACTGTCATAATTAGATTAACCGATGATTTCGTCGTTCTAGTGTCAGTGACTTACGACATATGAAATACAACAGAGATAAGTTTACTTAATACTTTTTACTTTTTTCTACCTAGTGATAGACTTATCGCTTTTGGCGTATATTCATTACTGCGTTTAACATCGTTATCTCCAACACTAAGTAACACCTTTGCTTATTTTATATTTGCTGATGATGGTCCAAACAATATGGGACCGAAATGTTCAAAATTTTTATATCTAAAATATTTTTGTATACAAGTTACGCACCGTTAACAGCGTTTTACTCCTTATAGCCATTAAGATTGTTCTTATCCATTAATTTTTTGTATTTTGTTTGAAACATAAGGCCTGTTCTTTCTACAACTGGTGCACAGTGTGTAATAAGTCGAAGTGAAACACATATACGTTTGTTCATTTCAACTTATTGCAGTGTGTGCAGTTCAGACAGTGCAGGTAAAAAGAACAAGCCTGTAAAAAAGTCTTTCAAAAAAAATTTTTTTGATTTTTGATTATTGTTATTCACAGGGAATGGGAAGTTACTTTTTAAAAGTAATTAGTTACAGTTACTCGTTACCGAGTAAAAAATGTAACCAGTTACAGTTACAGTTATCGCTTTTTAAAAGTAACTCGTTATAGTTACCGTTACTTGAAAAATAACTTTTCGTTACTTTTCCGTTACTTTTTTAAAATCAATTTAAAAATGTACTTTTGCATTTTTTTTTTTATATGTAATACTGACAAATATATAGTTTTATTAAAAAAAAAAAAACAATGTAGAATGGCTCAAATAATAAATTAAATAAAAGTAAAATGAGAAGGGTTACGAGCCAAAAATGAAACAGTTTATTTCCGATAAGAACGACGATGACAATGTAATTAAATGTATAAATATATATTAGAACAATAACATGGATAAAACAAGATAAAAACAAACGACGTTTCGACACTTATTGTCATCGTCTTTTAAACTGTTTCTCTTTTGGGTTCGTAGCCCTTCTCATTTTACTATTATTTAATTTATTTTTTAATTTTTTTAAAACACAATTTTATAATTCTAAAACCTGTAAAATATGCAGCAAACTGAAATATTTGTATGTCCTATGTATTACATAGAAGATAGAAGTGTAAAATAATTACTGAATCATAACGGCCGAATGTCTAAGGGTTTTCAAGTCTTATTGATAAGCGCTATAAATAGCATGTATCCAATCGAACCGTGTTCAATCGTGTGCAAAGTAACGACAAAAGTAACTGTAAATTTCGTTACCGTTACCCAAAAAATGTAACTCGTTACCGTTGCAGTTACCAAAAAGAGAAAGTAACGCAGTTACCAGTAAAGTTACCAAAAAAGTAACTTGTAACTGTAACTTCGTTACAAGTAACGAGTTACTTCCATTCCCTGGTTATTCATAATTATAAATAACGTAATCCATTGTCAAAATTTATAATCATAAATAAGAAAATTTACTCTTTCTTATTTTCTTTTTTAATAGTGTATAAAATATAGGAAAATAAAACATGTACGAAGTTCAAAAATATCTTTAAAAAAAAAAAGTTTAAACAGTAACAGTTTTAGATTTTGTAGAAAATCAAAAAGATGTCAAGTATTTCAATAATTCAAAAACTATAATAATAAAATGTGTGAGACATGAAACACTGAATATTAAAGTTGAACAAATTAAATCTGTCGATTGATGTTTCTTCTTGCAGGTACTACAGTACAATGTTCCAGAGGGGGAAAAAATTCGCGGTTTAAGGCTGATTTATGCCTACAAGTTACTAGCACCAAACGATCAACTGACAGAAGAAAACATTCGTTTAGCCCGGATTCTAGCATGGTGTGTGGAATTGGTACGTGATTCTGTTCTTTCCTTGATACCGATATTTTGCATACGCTTTAAATGAATCAAATGCAAGATATACTTAAGATTTTAATTATGATACCTTTAAATCGAAGAGACAGTATACACTGTATAATGATTATTTTAATTATTAAGTATAATCATGAATTATAAATTATAACATTTACCTATACAGACGCAAGCTTATTTCTTCATGATAGATCATATAGAAGATCGAACGTTCTTTCGCCGAGGCCAACTATGTTGGCACGAATACAATGATCTCAATTTAGCAGCGATCGACGATACTTTTATGTTATACAGTTCCATATTTTATCTAATACAAAAACACTTCAAAGAAAAAGACTGTTACGTTAATTTAATAGAAACATTCCAAGATGTAAGTAAAGATTTATTTCTTTTTTTTCCTGTCATATGTCCATTATCTGAATTCTTCCCTTTTTCTTTACAATTAAGGAATTATATGTGAAAGTATGGTAAACCTTTACCAAAGGGGGGCCACCCTCCGATGACCTTGACCTTAACATATGCTGTCAAGGTCATAACCCTGAGTAACCTCCTACAGAGGTTTTAGCCGTCGCTCGTCCTTCGTTAAAAAGTTATTAACAATCATAGTTCTAAAATATACGTTTCATTTCTGCTATATACGTATGATATCAAGTACTATTCTACACCTTTCCCTGTTCAGAAACGTTAAACTTTCCACGCGAAGTAACCTTCACCTTCCCCCCCCCTGCACAGGGGCACACGACTTCTACGATTATACTGTTGCTATGATAGTACTGTCGGGGCACACCTTTGTGACGGTGTGGGTGTCCCATTCGTTATATAATGATTATGAGTCTATTACTTGATATTTTACACACACACACACACACACACACGGGCGAGTGCAAGGTGGTGGCCTTCGGCCACCCCCCCCGCACCCACACCGTCACAGAGGTCTGCCCCGACAGTACAATCATAGCAACAGTATAATCGTAGAAGTCGTGTGCCACTGTGCAGGGGGGGGGATGAAAGTTACTTCTCGTGGAAAGTTTAACGTTTCTGAACAGGGAAAAGTGTAGAATAGTACTCAATATCATACATGTATTATATATTATACCTTAATTTTAAAATTGCAACAGTGCAATCATAGAAGTCGTACGCCCCTTGGAGGGGGGGGAGGAATTAGAGTTTGTGTAGTGTAGGAAGTCAAAATGTATGTGTAGAATAATGTTTAAGATGGTATATAGCAGAAATAAGACGTTATTTTTAAAACTTTGATTGTTAATAACTTTTTAACGAAGGACGAGCGACAGCTAATACCTGCCGGAGGTTACTCAGGGTCATGACCTTGACAACATATGTCAAGGTCAAGGTCATCGGAAGGTGGTCTCCTTTTGTAAAGGTTTACCGAAAGTATATTTCGACAGATCACAATGAAATCAGCAATAGGCCAGAGTTTAGATTTGCTCTGTACTAATTTTGGTAAAAAGCCAAATCTGGATATGTTTACGATGAATCAATATACTTCCATTGTTAAGTATAAAACTTCGTATTGTTCTTTTATTTTGCCAATAATCGCAGCTATGCAGTTAGTAAGTATCAGTTTTCTTATACACGAAAATTCATTTGCTTGATAATAATGCACTGTGATGCAATGTTATTTATTGTAGGCTGGAATAAAAGATCAAGAGATGTTCAAGGAAGCAAAAACCATCTTATTAGAAATAGGATGTTTGTTTCAAGTTCAAGACGATTATTTGGGTTCTTATGGAGACTTTGAAATCTGTGGCAAAAATAATAACGATGTCCAGGAAGGGAAATGTACATGGTTTATTGTTGTAGCGCTTCAACGTGTTACTCCAGAGCAGCGTAAAATATTAGAAGTGTGTACCATTTGTCGAATGCTATATCGAACGCTGTTATATTTATCTTTTCTATTTTTTTATTATATAGGAGTGTTACGGAGATTCGGATCTAGAGAAGATAGAACACGTGAAACAACTTTTTAATGACTTAAACCTGCTGGACACTTATTTCACATATGAAGAAGAAATATACAATCTAATAAAAGTACACATAAAGCAGATGTCGTCCGGACTTCCACATAGTCTTTTTTTGACTATATTATGGAAGCTTTATCACAGAATGTCATAAAATAATTGTATACATGGAAGAAATTTATATTTTATTACTTTATGTATAATATTAATATTTTATCGTTAAATTAAAAAAAGGAAAAAATAAATGAGAAGTGTTTTGTCAATGTCAAGAGAACGATGTTATTTCGCTGTGAAAAATATTGAAATATCTTCTTATACAGATTTTTACGTACAAAAAAATGTTTCATTATACAATATAATATTAAATATGCTTTATTCTGTTTATATTGATTTTTTTAAGAAAAAAAAAACAACATGCAAAATGACACAATTTGTTATTTAAATTAAAATCTTTTTATTTACATGTCAGACGTGTAGATTACTAATGTGTACACTATTTCATGGATCATAAAAAGACCATACATATGTATTGTTATTTAATGTATCGGGTATATATGTCTAAGGAAAGAATAGATTTATCTTTAGTACTACTTTCGTGTTTTGTTTTCTATCTTATTGTCTGAAGGAATTAACAAAATTTAGTAAAATACAAAGTGCTTCATACAGAAGGTATAAAAGATATAAAAGAAAATTTTTATTGCGTCTCATCTTCTTGATTTGTTCATTACAATTTTATTCATGACATGATTAAGTCATCATTGTTGCTTACCATTTGTATCAAACTATCTTTAGAAGTTGTTAAAATTTTAGAACGTTTAATTGTACCTAATGGCTCATTTCGTAACTCGAATGATACAAACAACGAGGGACGAAGAAAGTCAGCAATTAATGACAGTGTGGCCGGACATTATTCATGATGTCACAAAAGCGATTGAAAATTTCAACATTCCAGATGTTGCAAAATGGATGGAAAAAGTAAGTAATTATTTATTAAAATGCTAAATAATAGCCAAGTAGAATGTAGCAAATGACGTGATAAAAACTTTGATGGATTGATGGTGTAATAGAATAAATTCTTTCAGCATAATTATAAATACACAAAATTAATGGATAATAATAATAATATTAATGGCTATAAGGAGTCAAACGCTGCTAACGGAGCGTAACTTATATACAAAAATTTTGAACATTTTATCCCATTATTTGGACCATCATCAGCGAATATAAAATATACAAAGGTGTTACTTACAATTAGTGTTGGAGATAATGATATTGAAATGCGGTAATGAATACATATAATACCAAAAGAGATAAGTTCATCACTAGATGGAGTGAAGGTGTATTAAGGAATCTTGAATATGTCTGTGAAATCGTAAAAAATACAGAATCTGTGACCTAAACAGTAAAAAGTATTAAGCAATCTTACCTCTGTTGGTCGACAGACACAATTCCAAATTAACAATTAAAACTGTCATAATTAGATTAACCGATGATTTCGTCGTTCTAGTGTCAGTGACTTACGACATATGAAATACAACAGAGATAAGTTTACTTAATACTTTTTACTCTTTTCTACCTAATGATAGACTTATCGCTTTCGGCGTATATTCATTACTGCGTTTAACATCGTTATCTCCAACACTAAGTAACATCTTTGCATATTTTATATTTGCTGATGATGGTCCAAACGATGGGACCGAAATGTTCAAAATTTTTATATCTAAAATATTTTTGTATACAAGTTACGCACCGTTAACAGCGTTTTACTCCTTATAGCCATTAAGATTGTTCTTATCCATTAATTTTTTGTATTTTGTTTGAAACATAAGGCCTGTTCTTTCTACAACTGGTGCACAGTGTGTAATAAGTCGAAGTGAAACAGATATACGTTTGTTCATTTCAACTTATTGCAGTGTGTGCACCAGTTCAGACAGTGCAGGTAAAAAGAACAAGCCTGTAAAAGTCTTTCAAAAAAAATTTTTTTGATTTTTGATTATTGTTATTCATAATTATATATAACGTAATGCATTGTCAAAATTTATAATCATAATGAAAATTTACTCTTTTTCTTGTTTTCTTTTTTAATAGTGTGTATAAAATTTAGGAAAATAAAGCACCTACGATCAAGTTTAAAAGTATCTTAAAGAAAACTGTTTAAACAGTATCAGCTTTAGATTTTGTAGAAAATCAAAAAGATGTCAAATATTTCAATAATTCAAAAACTATAATAATAAAATGTGTGAGACATGAAACACTGAATATTAAAGTTGAACAAATTAAATATGTAGATTGATGTTTCTTTATGTAGGTACTACAGTACAATGTTCCAGGGGGGAAAAAAATTCGCGGTTTAGGGCTAATTTATGCCTACAAGTTACTAGCACCAAACGATCAACTGACAGAAGAAAACATTCGTTTAGCCCGGATTCTAGCATGGTGTGTGGAATTGGTACGTGATTCTGTTCTTCCTTGATACCGATATTTTGCATACGCTTTAAATGAATCAAATGCAAGATATACTTAAAATTTTAATTATGATACCATTTAAGTCAAAGAGATAGAGTATGCACTGTATAATGATTATTTTAATTATTAAGTATAATCATGAATTATAAATTGTAACATTTACCTATACAGACGCAAACTTATTTCCTCATGATGGATGATATAGAAGATCAATCGTTATTTCGCCGAGGCCAACTATGTTGGTACCAATACAATGATCTCAATTTAGCAGCAATCAACGATACTTTTATGTTACAGAACTCCGTATTTTATCTAATTCGAAAACACTTCAAAGGAAAAGATTGTTACGTTAATCTATTAGAAATATTCCAAGATGTAAGTAAAGATTTATCTGCTTTTTTTCCTGTCATATGAATTTCCATTATCTGGATTCTTCCCTTTTTCTTTACAATTGAGGAATAATTTGTGAAAGTATATTTCGACAGATCACAATGAAATCAACAATGGGCCAAAGTTTAGAATTGCTCTGTAGTAATTTTGGTAAAAAGCCAAATCTGGATATATTTACGATGGATCGATATAATTCCATTATCGAATACAAAACAGCGTATTATACATATGTTTTCCCAATAACTGCAGCAATGCATTTAGTAAGTGTATCGTAATTCCATATTATACACGAAAATTCATTTACTCGATAATAATGCACTGTGATATGTTATTTATTGCAGGCTGGAATAAAAGACCAAGAGATGTTCAAGGAAGCAAAAACAATCTCATTAGAACTAGGGTGTTTCTTTCAAGTTCAAGACGATTATGTGGATTTGTTTGGAAAATTTGATGTCTGTGGTAAAGATGGTACTGATATTCAGGAAGGAAAATGTACATGGTTTGTTGTTGTAGCGCTTCAACGTGTTACTCCAGAGCAGCGTAAAATATTAGAAGTGCGTATCATTTGTCGAATGCTGTATCGAACGCTGTTATATTAATCTTTTCTTTTTTTTTATTGTATAGGAGTGTTACGGAGATTCGGATCTAGAGAAGATACAACACGTGAAACAACTTTATAATGACTTAAATCTGCTGGACGCTTATTTCAAATATGAAGAAGAAACATACAATCTAATAAAAGTACACATAAAGCAGATATCGTCCGGACTTCCACACAATCTTTTTTTGGACATATTAGAGAATCTTTGTCATAGAGTGTCATAAAACAATCATATATTGAAGAAAGAAACTAATGTATTAATAATAAGATGGAGCAAAAAGCATTCTACCAATACGAAAAAATGAATTAAAATTCTATTTCAAAGTGAAAATATAAAAGAATTTTTTATAGTTTTCTGACATGATAATATGCCAATAAAATTTCTGAAGAATTTTACATTATCATTTTTTTAAATTATTTATATAACGTCTTTATGTTATACAAAAATTTTATTTTATGAGCAAAAATATTAATTTTAATTATAAGAATAAATTATAATGTGTAAATAATTTTTATACGAATTTTTAATGTAATTAAATGCAATATGTAAACATTACATATATATGGCAAGATGCAGATAAGACCCTTTATGTATCCTTAAGTCATATCTGAATATTAAATGCTCATTTTAATGATAAATCTACAAAAAATATGCAAAAATAAAAATGTTTAAATTATGCAATAGTTTATGTGTGGTGCATTTTATTAATACAATTTCTTTGAACAAAAACATACAAAATGATAATGTATCATTAAATTGAATATCTTTCAACATTTACATGACGATCATACGGATTAGTAATGTAGATCGCTTTGTTGATCATAAAACAATCATACATATTGTTATTTTATGTATCAGATATATACATATGTCTATAGTTCATAAAAAATGATTGTCTTTCTACAAAAATCTCTTTAACAGAAAATTGTACATTGTACTATAACCGAATAAATTTTTGTAATAAGGATTTTTATGTAAGATGATGAACTCATGTAATAAATATATTTTTTATACATATTATACTATATATGTAAAATTTTGTATTTATTATATCTTTACAAATATAGACATTCAAAGATAATAAAAAATATCATTGAGATTTTTTTATTTTTCTTTTCTTACCATAAGGTTGATGTCTCCTTTCATTATTACGAATTTTCATACGTACAATTGTTTTTAATTCACGTCTTAAATTGTTAAATGTGTCATTCGAGGTAGCTTCTGTACTGAAGAATTTTACAGCTTCTAAAAATACATCTTTATAACATCTATTTTATCAGTGCTCTGATTTCACGGTTTTTTTTTATTATACATACCATTAAATCTTACATCATTGCTATAAAAAAATAGAGTATCTTTATAGCCAAACAAAATATTTTGTTGTATGTCATCTTTAGTTTCGTCTATTTGGTTACTTATATCTGGTGCTTCAGATATATTTTCATCATCAGATGAATCACATTTAAATGCATTATTTGCATTAAAATTTAATTTGAAATGTTGGGCTTTAATATTTTCTATTGTGGATGTATCATTATCCTTACTATTTTCTGAAAATTAATCAAGAAACTGAAATAGTGCATGTATTGACATAGAATGATAAAAATATAAAAATGTGATATTTTTTAATAAATACCTGTATCATCTCTGTTTTTCTCATGTAACTTTAACAAACTAAATCCTCCTTTCTGTTTCAAGCTCTCTGTCAGAGTATCAGATACACTGTAATAAATATCCTTTGACACTTCTGGTTTGGGAAGTGCAGAATCCTTAATTTCTAGTACTGATTTATCACGTTTCTTATTTTTGATATTTTTCTCCTTAGTTTCTGGTTGTACAGGTTTCATTTCATATTCACAGTGCCCATTTTCAGTTGGATCATATCGTACCATCAATTCCTTCCTATAAGTATATTATCATTAAATATCCAAAGCAACAATCATAAATTCTTGTTTATTTAAATATTGTTCATTTAAATATTCGTACTTAGTAGGTTTTGTTTCTAGATTTTTTATGGTAAGTGGTGTTCCTAAAATACTTTCTAAGATATCTAATTGTTTTTCCTTTTCCTTCAGTAAATCATACTCATTGATATCTGTAACAACTTTATTCTCCTCAGTCTGATTGTCTTCTTGTACAAAACGATCATCCAGAATAAAACGTGCATCATTTCCAAGAGTCTGTAAGTGTACATAAATAAGCTATTAAGGTAGCTAATACCATTATAAGACCTTTTCATGTGTCGTTTATCGCTCATTTTTTAGCGACATAGTGCCGTCATATAATCACTGACGATGTGATTTTGTAGTTGGATTTTTCCAACGACAAGCGATGTCACTAAGTAATTGCGTTATGATAATATATAATCAAATATTAAAATAAATGAAGAGGTAAGGATAATATTGAAATACATACAAAATTGAATTGTAAATAATATCAACATATAATAAAAGAAATAATAAAAAACATAAAAAAAATAATAAAAAACATATTATATCAACATATAATAATGAAAAGGTACTTTTATAAGCTGCGTTCGGTAATAGCAAATCTGAGGCGTCGGAGTGCTCTTATATTATAGCATATGTCACGTGCACTATAGAAAAAGAGCACTCCGACGCCTCAGATTTGCATTGCTGAACGCAGCTAATAGTATCATTTTCTAAAAAAGTAAAACAAAGTATCAAATATTTACCTTTTTACTTTTCTTGACTTTAAATGCATCTTCATTCCATAAAGAATTCTTTTCGTTGTTACTGTCATCATCACTGTCAAACAAATCTTTCTTTATCTTTTTCTTTGGTTTTATACCTTGCTGTTCATTATCATCGTCAAATATAATTTTCTTGTTGTGTGTAGTATTATCCTAAAAAAATAATAATCCTATATAAGTAATAGTACATATAAAATATGATACAATTCCAAATAAACTCACCAAGTTCCTTAATGCTTGCTGTATAAGTTGTTCCTTTGCTTTGAATGCCTGTTTCTTCTCCTTCAAGGATTGCAAGCGTTTCTTCTCGGATTCAGTAATTACACTCATTTTGGACTATTCAGAACTACTATAATCGAGAAAGAAAGACTATCTACAACAGAATTAGGTAAAAGTATAGAATATCCCGCTCAGTTCAAATTTTGATAAAAATACACTTATTCGACACGTTTTTGCACGAAACGACCGAATCTAGCAATAAAAAGTGCCGCTCTGCCCTCCGATCCGAGATGCGTTAAGTTGACGGCTGTTGAGGTTGGGAAATCTGTCAATTTCTGCTATATATGCGCATGCGTTTCACTACTCCGTACAAAGTGCACGAAATTTAAAATCAAATTAAAAAATATATATGTAATAATAGAGGTCTGTTCGCGTTGCATAAAATCCCCAAATAATTTTGCACTTAAAATGAGATAGATATATATTCGGCGTTAAAAAGAGAGAAAGCGAAGATAGTAAGTGCAAAAAGTGCAAGCAATGCGAACAGACCTAATGTTTCTATTATTTCTATTATTCCAAATTAAATCATAACCCATGTGGACAGTGAGATGAGTGAGACCGGAAGCTTGGATTCGGGGCAGCGTAGCCGAATCTATAAAAAAAGAATGACACTTTTTCTAGCTTTGGACACAAAATACACCAGGAGTAGGTATGTACATACATTAGCTTAAATATTTAAATCGTGGAGAAGAAATTTTTATTTTGTGAAACTATTACGAAGAAATTAGACAGGAACGAAAACGTTAAAAACGCTAGTTTTATCGGTAATACAGGCGACTCCAGCATCTTCTTAATTAATGGGCGCATTCAGCAGAAAAGAGCGCTACGAGAGCGCTCGCTGTTATTGGTATATTCTTCCAGATTTAAAATTCTGATTGGATGATCTAGAAGAATACACCAATAACAGCGAGCGCTCTCGTAGCGCTCTTTTCTGCTGAATGCGCCCAATGAGAAGCAGACTGGATAATCCTGGAGGAGACACAAGCATTGAATATCGATGGAGCAACCTTGCGGTAAGCAAACTTATTACTTGTATAAAAAAATTAATTATTTCTCCCCATCAGATTATTTTATTTCTATGATTAAAAATAATAATTTAAAAAAATAATCTAAAACATTACGAAAATTTATTCTCATGAAGACAAAGAAAATGTATAATTATTTTAATGTGTGATTAAAAAAATATTGAAAAATTCAATTTCGTATAATTCAATCGTATAAAAATTATTTCTTGAATTTTATTTTTTATATTGATTATTTTTTTAATACTATTTTAATTTGGATCTGTTTGGATGTATTTGTATGTTACAGAATTGCCACTTAGCTAAACTCAACGACTGCACATTGATTGGTGATGAAGATTTCATTAGGCATTGAGTCTGTTAACAGATCTGTTTTGTACCATCATATTAGAAATGAATATAATGCTTTTTAGATTTGTTACTTTACATATTTAAGCTTGGATTTGTCTATCGCTAATTGTCAATTTGATATTACTATTGTGCTTGAAGTTTATTATGTTCATACTCATACAAGAATATATTCAAAAAAACGAAAATGAATTCAATTATCAGTTAATGTTATAAATATAATATTAAATAAAATCAAAGTAAGAATATAAATGTTTAATTTTATTGAATTATTATTTGATTCACACATATTAAATTTTTAATTAAAAAAAAAATAAAGATCGAACTAAAGTTCCTTTCTTTATAGATAATACAAATCAGAAAAAATGTTTGTATATAAAGCTGCATTTTAATAAAAATAAGTTTATGCATAAGATAAACGTAATCTAGCTGTCACTTAACTGCCATACAATCATTTGAGTTTGCATAAAAATAATCACTTATATGTATTTTGGCTATTTCAAGTTACATTATAGATTGTTTCTAAACACTCAAATCTTTACAGACGTATACGCATTGCTACTGCATTAAATGCAATGATTAGATGCATATATGTATATATATATTAAGTATAATAATACAACTATACATTTAGTTACCAATACTCACATCTTAATACATTTTTATTTCTTTACAACTTTATAGTAGATATTTTTTGATAGCATTACATTCTGTCACGAGTACAATTAATCTGTTTCGCTTCCTCTGATTTCATAGACGAAATCAAAAGCACGGATTACGTTGTTCCTTTCTTATGTGGTAAAGATTAGAGACTTGACTGTGTTTGTTATTGCCTCAACTCTTCTTGGTGAACATGATGAGCTGTATGTCATCACACTATGCTACTAGTCAACAATGTTATTAGCTATGTACTGAGAAGGGCTAAGATATTTGAAAGAAGTGAGATCAATTTTGAGGAGTGTGTGAACATAATCTAAAAATCCAACCCGTTGAATATAAAGTCTAAATCAATAAATCATAAAAAAAGGAAATATAAAATTTAATGAAATGTTGAAAATACATTTTCTTACCATAATTAATCCTACACATTCAAAGGGATAATATTTTTAGAACTATCTGAAATACATATAATGATTATTATTGCACTTCACGTAATATTTTACATAAACTGTTTTTCAAATTATCAGGATCATATATTCTTATATATTCTCTTCACACACACACACACACACACACACACACACACACACACATAGATGTATCGAAAGATTGACGGAAGGTTATAAACGCAAATCTATAAAAAATCATGTTTTTGTACACAAAAACAGAAATTAAAGAATAACAACGAATATACTCTCATTAACTCTTTTATTCTTGTGTATTTGAAATTTTCGAGAGTCTACTTTAATTTAATTAGAAATTAAAGAATTTCATATACTCAACTGTACAGTTCGCACGTGTGTGTGTGTGTGTGTATGTATGTATATATATATGTGTGTGTGTGTGTGTGTATGTGTGTGCACATGCATACAAGAATGTATAACTCCAAAAAATATATATATTTTCAGATTACTAAATTACTGTATAAGTTTCTAATAATGTTCACATTGTTTAATGTAGCATATAACAAAAGAAAATACTTAAATAAATGCTTTGAATCATAAATTTAAATTTATACAAATATATATATATATACACACACACACACACACATAAACTTTTATTCTGCTTTAAACAAAAGATTATCTCAATTTATCAATACAAGATTGCTATTTTCTATTATTAGACAACACGCACGCCTTCAGGGTTATTAAATTCGAAGTCATCATATACAGATATTTTTTCTATTGATGCTCATATGCTCCTCAATCAAAATAATTTCATATTTTTAATGCAGGACTCTTAGCATACATATTATGATTTATATTCATCTTATGTAATAAATAATGAGATAATAAATAAATAAATAAATCTGAATAATTGAAAATATGTTCCTGAGATTTTATAAATACTTATCAAAATAAAGAATCATTGAATAAAATTCAACGAACAAAACTTTCTTCGGGACGTGTTCAATTATAAGTTTTTCCCTTCATGTTAATGAATCGTTAACATATATAGCGACTCAAATACAAAAATCTAATAAGTTAACATTAGACAATTTTTTTTTTTTTTATGTGAAGTTATGTCTATTATAATTTGGATATATGTAAATATATATTTTTATATTAATAAAAACTTTGGTTTTGTTATTCATTGTGATTTATAAGTGCAATTACATTTGCTAATGCTATTCTGTAAGGAAATATTCCATTATCTTGCAACTCATATAACAAGTAACTTAAGTAACTTAGATATTGTCTCACTAATATTAAAACACGTGTCGACTTATTCGAGACTTATTCATTTCAATTCTAAACTTCGTGTACATTGTTTAATACTAATTGCATAATAATGCAACGCATATTATTACTGTTATATTTAAGTCGCGTTTACCATGACCACGTTACAACGTTAAAATATACATAGCCTGTGCATGTACTAGTTTTACTTATTTATGGAGTTTAGCTATAGTGTTATTTATAATAAGATATAATATATATATTTTATATTTACTTCCCATAAATGGTCAGTAGCCACCGTCGTAACGCATGTCCAGGCATATATGATTTCAAACACATCTAACGCATTTTTTTGTGATAGGGCGTATGGATAAGTGTAATTTACAAGTGGTCAACAATAAGAAGCACAGTTTAACAAATAACTTCCTTCTACATCCTGCATGAAAACTTACTCTATGACCCACGCGCTGCCCAGCGACCTATCAGCGAATGAAGTTCTTCTTTAGTCTGTAAAAAAAAATATAATTCAATGTAATTACTGCAAATTTTATTATTAAAACACTATTTATCACAAAGAATTTTGCGAATTGAAGATTCTTAAATAGAGCTTGACTGATGATCATCTTTTACATACCTTGGCACATTATTCACCGGAACCAGAGATATACATTAGAATATATATTTCTTGCGTTTTTCTTTTAGATTAATATCAATAAAAAATAGCCATATGTTGGAAATTATGAATACTAAAAATATTGAAATGATTTCATAATAATATTGAGATTACCTTTAAGTAAAATAGGTGATGGAAAACAATATATATTTTGTTCTGAAAAATTATCCTAAATCATCTTCTTTCGTAAGTAGCTCGCTGTGCATTCAATGGAAATACATTTTGGTAAGACTATGGATGACTTTTAGTAAGCTGGGGCTTGAAAGTCACCCATACCCCGCTGTTGTTGTTGACCGAATGGCGGTTCTTGGTAAGCAGTGTCAGTGGCATCAGGATAACTTGTGTATCCTGTACTACTGACAGGATCCGCTTCGTAACTTGGAGCGAATGCTGCTTCACTACCTTGTTTAAATCTTAGAAACGCGAACCAAGTACAAGCGGCCTGTAATGACAAAATAAAATTTTGAGACAAATTCATAAGAAAACATAATTGTTTATCTATATAAATCCAAGAAAACTAAGACGCTAACAATATATTAAATAAAATTGGCTGCACAAATTGTTGCTTCATCTAACGTACCCAGGTAAAGATGGAAAAGAACGAGAATGCAATAGCCGATTGTACATTATTTACTCCATATCCGTCTTTTGGTCTTACAGAATTATTCCATGCACTTGTCAAGTAACAGAATCCAACAAAATAAAGGAAAGCCCATAAACCCGAGAACCTGTAATTAATATATTATTATATTAATATACAATATATTATATCAGGTTGTATATTAAGATGTGTTGAAGGATTTTAAAGACACTTTCAACGTGATTTTTAAAGATCAT